AAAAAGAGCCCCATAGCATTATCCCTCCTCCACTAACTTTACAGTTGGCACAATGCAGTAAGGCAGGTAACATTCTCGTGGCATTCACCAAACGCAGACTCATCCATCAGACTGGCAGATAGAAAAGCGTGATTCATCACTCCACAGAATCCAGAGGTGGCAGCTTTACACCACTCCATCCAACGCTTGGCATTGTGCATTTTGATCTTAGGCCTGTGTGTAGCTGCTCGGCCATGGAAACCCATTTTGTGAAGCTCCTAATGTGCAGTTCTTTTGCTGATGTTGCTTCCAGAGGCAATTTGGAACTCTTTAGTGAGTGATTCAACAGAGGATATGCACTTGCGTTTCAGCACTCAGCTCATTTTCTTTCCCTTAAAAAAATGATTTTAGAAAAGGTTCAAATGCTTCAGTAAAACTGTCAACAAGTGGCCACACTTTGGTAAACAGTAAGATGCGCACTTACCGCAGAGAGTAAAACGGACAGGAAAGCCTCAGGGGTGTGTAATTATATTAAATCTATTAACAGAGCTGTTTTGAGAGGAGTGAAAGCTCTGTACTGGACTTGATTTGGTTAAAGAAGCCCCAAAAATGTTAAATTCATCAAAGTATTTTTAATTAAAAGTGTAGTTTCAGTAACTGAGCTCAACTTCGCTTTTTAAAAAGCACATTTTGTACCTTAAATGTATTGCAATGAAGCTTTGCAAAGTATAAAGCAGTTAATATACAACGTAAAATCAAGGAAAAGAAGAATCTAATACAATACAAGAAATTTAATAATATCTATAAATCCAAATTTAATATACGTGAATTGAAAAATTTGGAATTTTAAAAATCATTTTAGAAAATGTGCATATGCTTCAGTAAAACAGCCTACAAGTGGCTACATTTTGGTGAAGAGTAAGCTGTGCACTTACCACACCGTGTAAAATGGAGAGGAAGCACCAGGGGTGTGTAATTATATTAAATCTATTAAAAGAGCTGTTCTGAGAGAAGGTGAAAGCTCTGTACTGGACTTTAATGCATGAATGGAGGAGAGACTGCACATTAACTCAATGAAACACGATTCCCCTGGTCTGTCCACTCAAGAGGTGGAGAAACAGAGTGGTCAGGACAAAAATGAACTATGAGATGATCACTCAGCTAACATGCCATCAGCAGATCGAGGACACCTTGACGTCTTCTGAATTGTTCCAAGTAATATTTGAGGTTTCAGTTTAAGTAAGAAAGAGTCCCTACAAATGTTTAGTTTATGATCAGTCAGTCCTTCAACACTCAGCATCATGATCGTTATCTTCTTGGTATGAAGAGCAGATTTTGTTTAAATAACGGTTTGACCCTTTTCTATTCCAAACTGTTGTTAGAAGCTCATATTGAAACTCTTTTGGGACACCCTTGAAAAAAAAAAGATTCTTCAAAGGTTCTTTAGTAAAGATAATAGTTCTGTATACAACCATGAACTCTCAAAGAACCCTTTGCATGAATAAATGGTTCTCTGCATCGTGAAATGGCTCTTCAGCTTGATGGAGAATGTGATGTAGATGGTTCTATACAGAACCATTTTCAAAAGGAGTTCTATATAGCACTAAAATGGTTCTGTTACTGTTATGATGTCAAGCTAGTCACAGTAGAAGAAACCTTTTTGTAAACAGTTCTACATAGTTCTATACAGAACCATATAAAACACATTCTCCATCAGTCTGAAGAAAACTATCATGATGAAAAGAACCCTTTAATCTTGCAAAGGGTTTTTGAGTGTTCATGGTTCTATACAGAACCATTTTCTTTACTAAAGAACCCTTGAAGAAACATCATTTTTAAGTGTGATGTGCTGTAGATGGTTCTATACATAGCCTTTCTGAAAAAGGTTCTAAATTGCACCAAAAAGCATTCTTCTCGTGACAAGCTTGTCATCGTGACAATAACAGAACAATTTTGGGTGCTATATAGAACCCTTTTAAAAAGGTTCTCTATAGAACCATTTAACACATTCTCCATCAATCTGAAGAATCATTTTACCATGCAAAGAACCTTTTAATCATGCAAAGAGTTCTTTGAGTGTTCATGGTTATATATTGGACCATTTTCTTTACTGAAGAACCATCTTTTACTTAGACACAAATGTAGATGGACTATATGTTTAGACTCTGCATTTTTCCACACTTGTTTCAGTGAAGAATGAGTCAGAACTAATTCTGTAATATAAAGTATAATTAAATAATATAAAATATAAGAGGTTTTGAAACTGTTCAGTTCACGGAAGAGTTAAGCTTTACCTCCAGCGTCCGGCTGATGGGAGTCAAACGAGGTGAAGGTGCTGCTGTCCACACTGGGCTTCTCTCGAGAACAGAGTGAAGCGCTGGATCCAGCCCATTCACTCCCACCCATAGACACCGGAGAACGAGGTTCTAGATCCAGATCTTTCTCTGAGATGGTGCTTAGTCTCCTCACCCCACTGACCACAGCCTGGCTCATACTGACTTACTCTACAGCACTGAATCTCTGAATAATGATAATGATAATAATGAAAATAATAAACTTTTTGAAATATTAACAATAATGTAGTGATAATAAACACTTTAAACTGTAAAATAATAAAATATAACTACTTCATTGAATACCTGCCACAGTCTACAAAGTCATCAAACAAAGCAAAGGCCCTAAAACAACATGAGAAAGTACAACAAACAATAAAAAGAAAGAATAAACAGAAAAGCATCCTCCTGTTGATGAGTGCATCTGAGCTGAGGCTCAAGGAGAGAATGAAACAGAACTGCAGGATAAGATGCACTTCTCGCTGAGCTCCGCCTCTCAGAGGAGCACATGCAACACATTCCTCAGCGCAGGAGCCGATATTCACAAAACCACACGTCTAGAGAGTTTGTGTATAATAAAGAGAGCAATAAACACCTAAAATCAATGAAATAATACAGTGCCTGTCAAATGTTTAAGCATGTATATCTTTCCAAAATCTGTTAATTAAGGATCATGTTTTCTTTGTTGGTTTTTAATAAATTACCATATTAAAGCCTAGAGGCCGTTGGGGTCCGAGTCGAGTCCAAGTCTCTGAGCCAGTCTGGGTCTCGAGTCTCTGAGGTGTGAGTTCGAGTTTTGAGTCTCTGAGGTGCGAGTCTGACTCTCAGGTCTCTGAGGGGCAAGTCCAAGTCAAATCTTGAGTCTCTGAGCTGTAATTCAGAGGCAAATCTTGAGTCTCTGAGGTGTGAGACAGAGTCGAATCTCTGAGGTGCGAATCCGAGTCGAGTCTCGAGTCTGTTAGGTGCAAGCCCGACTCTGAGGTGCGAGTCCAAGTCTCGAGCCTCTTAGGTGCGAGTCTGACTCTCAAGTCTCTAAGGTGCGAGTCCAAGTTGAGTCTTGAGTCTCACTCTTGAGTCTTGAGTCACTGAGGTGCAAGTCAGAATCAGATCCAAGTCGCTGACTCAATTCTCCAGCTATGGTTGTTAATATTCACATTCAGTAAATATCTGTTTATTTATTATTATTGAATTGAAAGTAACAGCTTTCACAAAAAATAAATTAATAGTGTCACCAAACTTTTGATGGCCATCTTTTGTATGTGAGTTTCATCTCCACAGTCAAAAGACATGCAGAGACTAAATAACCTGATATGATATAGAGGTGAGTCAGTGCCTGCAGTTTGAGTCAGTAACTGTGCAGGTTTATATGTTACAGTTTAATTATTAAAGATGCCATTAGCAGACAGCACGTGAGTGTAAAGTGGGACCCCAGAGGGCAGTGAATGAACGAGCTGGACTGTAATGGACTTCACAGGCAGCTTTTACAGTCTGCTGTCTCCTTTAATAAGAGTTTCCTGCCTTGAACAGGAGAGAAACATCACTGTATTTCAGCTGACTGATCTCTGCTTTCACAGCTTAACAAAACAAAACCAAAAAAACAATATTTAAGGCTGTAAAGCTCTGACACCTCAGAATGATTCAAGAAATGATTCATGATGAAATCTCAAATTTCATCATGAATCAGTTCGACTGAAAATACACCGAATACATGAATTACACTGTAGTCAAATGTAAACTGTAAAAAAACAAAAAAACAAAAAAAAAAAAAACACAAAGGTTTACTTTTTTTGGTAATTTTTCCACTTCAGAGTTGCACACTTGCTTTATGTAGCACCAAAAAAGTTTGTCTACTGTTACAAGCTTGACATCGTCACAACAGCAGAACCTTTTTCGGTGCTTTATAGAACCCTTTTCAAAGGTTCTATATAGAACCACATACTATACATTCTCCATCAATCTGAAGAACCATTTCACCACGCAAAGAACATTTAAACATGGAAAGCGTTCTTCTCGCGTCTCTGAGCTGCAAATCTGAGTCGAGTCTCGACTCTCTGACGCGAGTCCAAGTCGAGTCTCAAGTCTCTCAGGTGCTAGTCAGAGTCGAGTCTCGAGTCTCTGAGGCACGAGTCTGTTCTCAGGTGCAAGTCTGAGTCGAGTCTTGAGTCTCAGAGGTGCGAGTCAGAGCTGAGCCTCAAGTCTCTGAGACTTCTGAGGAGCTGTTTCACCATTTCACCAAAGAACAATTTAAGCATGCAAAGGGTTCTTTGAGTGTTTGTGGTTCTACACAGAACCATTTTCTTTACTAAAGAACCCTTAATCAACCATATTTCAGACTGTAGCACTTTTCTCGGTTCCAAAAGATCAGGTAAATATCGTGACGTATCGTGCATCCTGAAAATTTCTTGAAGTATCGCAGTATTTTATTTCTGCCAGATCGCCCACCCTAATTAGTGTCAGAGTAAATAAACACTTATTGACCAGATAAAAAACTTTAAGGCTAATTTTCTCAGGTGATGAAAACTTTTGCACAATCCTGTATATTTTCCACTTCCATGTCATCAACTGCTGCAGGTGAGGATTAACCCGACTGAACTGCTCCTTCCTGTTTGCAATTTAAGTGTTAATTAAAAACAAACAAACAAACAAACACAAAGCAACTTGATTTGAGTCAAAAATGAATCATAAATACAGAGTTAAATTAAATCTTTATTGCTCTTTTCTATACGTTCAAGCTTATTTTTTTACATTAAATTTCAAGCAAGTGAAAAAAAATAGACATCAAAATAATACCATTAATAATCTTCTGAAAATGTTCAGATAAAAAAAAAAAGCCATAAACAGAAAATCATCTCGAGAAAAAAATGCCCTTTTAAACACGCCGTTCAGCAGTAAATATCAGACCAGTGCCAGCTCGAGAGGAGTTACTGTACAGCAAAATAAACACAACTTCAAAATGTCTTACAGGTTTTTTTGGCACAAACTCCATTGCATAGATGGGAACTTTTCTTTTAATTAATCAGTGGCTTTCTCTTGGTGCAAGTCAGACAGCAGGGCTAGTTATAGTAGTAGTTATAGTAGAAGTTTTAGTTTTTTTTTGTGAAGTTTTTTGATTTCATTTAGTTTTAAGTGTGTATCAGTAGTTTCAGTTTAGTTTCTATTTTCTGAAAAGTAACCGTTTTAGTTTACTTTTTAATTTCTGAACAGTTAAAATTTTGGTTTTGTTTTTCGTTCAGTTTCAGTTTTAGTTAGTGTTCAGTGTTATGAGGAACGCTGCGATAGCCAGTATTTGATTAGAGTAAATAAATAAAGAATAAATGATCACAATAGCAGAATGAGATGAGCTCAGCTCAGCTCAGCTACAGCTTTCCTTGAAGACCAAACACACGAACACACAATCACAAAAACACACTTCTAAACTCTCATTTACTGAAAACACTAAAACTAAAGCTTTATTCTCAGTAACGTCTCAGTGAACATTAGTTTTGATTTAGTTGAAGTTTTTGAAAACTTTCACTTTTATTTTTATTAAAGTTAATGAGCAGATTTTTGTGATAGTTTCAGTGAACTATAATAACCCTGCAAGAAAGGAGTGTCTGTAAAAGTTCATTCAAAACTATCCAAAATATCTGTTCAAATAAATACATGAGGACTTTATCCAGAAGAAAAAAAATTCAATAGGGATGCACGACGATAACAGAATATCAGTCTTGGCTAAAGATAGATATTAGTCATCAGACCAACTGACATTTGATGACGTATTTATTATGTGACGCTGAGTTACTGCACTAAAATATATGCATTTCATTTATTTTACATTTTTAACACTTTTATTTCACTGTTATGCTAATAAAAATAGATTTAGTCCAAATTTTGGCATTGTATACATGTTTTTGTATCGGCAGATGTGCACCTGAAAATATCGACCCACAGTTTCCGTATCAGTGCATCCCTGAAAAAAACAAAATGTGTAACAAGTAAAAATGTAAACAGTAACACACGGAATGATATCAGAACAGCTCAGTGAACAGGATGACCTGATTACACTGAAAGCACAAACAAAAAATTTCTACATCACTTCCCAATTACTGGAATATATTACAAAACGTAGTACAATTACTGTACGTTTTTTTTTAATTAAAAAACGCAAGTAAATTAGCTGCTTTACCGTTTTAAGTTCATTGAACCTCAAACAGTAAGCTAATGATATCTTATATGTGTGTTTATACTTGTACAATTATTATTATATAATTATAATTAGTCATATGTTGACTTAATATTTCAAGCTTATTAATTTAAGGCAGGCTTACTTATTTAATGACCTAAAACAAAAATTTTTACAGGTAATTTGATTCAGCAGTAAGCACGTTGATGTAATATATTTTATTCCTGTGGAAATGATGTACGTGTTTGAATCAGGTGAACTCAAAGCTGTACTTCATCGTGTGTTACGATGCCTAGTTCATCCGACTTTACGAAGAAAATAGAACAAAACTGGAAAAAAAGAAAAAATTAGCTTTTGTTACCTGCATCAAAATTACATAAGTAGCAATCAGCAACAATACAGTCCAGTCAACTAAGGAAAAATGAATTAGTTCCACTTAAGGTGCACAGTTACTGTAAAGCATGTCCCTTTACCTTCCACTCCCTCTAGTAAAAATTCAATAACACACACTAAAGCTAACAAGCTAAACGCCCTGTTTGAACAATGAGCTTCTCAAATGAAAGTGACCTTGAGGTGGAAACATACAGTTTGTTGTTCAGCAGAAACTCCACTAACTGTTTAGCAGTAACAAACAAGAATCTCCTCCAATCAAAAAAGAAATTTTAGCATTTAGCATCTTAGCTGTGCCCACAACAGAGTTATACAATCATTTATTGCTGAAAACACCCGCAGAGTCCTTCAGTATTGTGTTAAAGCAGAACTTTTTAGCAAAAAAGTTTCAAATTTCCCATTAACCCAAATATAGTCAATCAGCCAAGACACTGTTTTAGCAGAGAACGGTCAGTCAGACACTAGAGGACGCTTCTGAGCGAGTCCAGAATAGGTTCCTATGGAGCTTTCCTGTAAAATCATAGTTTGTAAGTGCTTAATAATGTTTAATCATTGACTTTAAATGCTCACTAACCAATAGCAGCAGTAATGTTAACCAATCAGCACTCAGTAGCAGTAATGTTAACCAATCAGAACTCAGTAACAGTAATGTTAACCAATCAGAACTCAGTAGCAGTAATGCCAAACAATCAGCTCTCAGTAACAGTAATCCTTACTAATCAGCACTCTGTAGCAGTAATGTTAATCAATCAACACTCAGTAGCAGTAATGCTAACCAATCAGCACTCAGGAGCAGTAATGTTAGCGTCCTGATGCCCAAAACCTGTTTGTTGTATAGGTTTGTAGAAGCTGCAAGTTTTCTTGGATATTTGAAAGTAATATATCCTTCTACTTTCCAAAATTACAGGAAGTTCGTGCATAAATGCTTAGAAACAAGTTTCCTTTTTCGTTGTAAGCCGTTTAGCTCCATTCATCCCCATTCACCGAGAACTTGCGGGCGCCCTCTAGTGTCTGCAGTCATTTTTTGGTATAAAGGGAGACATAACAAGCAGCAAAGCTCCCCTTAAACTAGCTCTGGTTTAGCATTGGAGCTACAAGTCTAATTCATATAAGTATTGGAATTAGTATGGTGCTAACTGCATGCTTAAAACATCAACCAGTTGCCTCAAACTGGGTGGAGTTGTTCAGTAATCTTTAATAGACTTGCTCTGGGTTCTGACACTGTATGACAGTGGCCTCTTTTCCACTGCAGAGCAAATTAGTTCTCAGGGCCGTACTGTGCTGTTCCACACTGGTATGAACTTTTGAGACCGGTTATGGTTCGTTTTTCCATCTGCTTTACTGCTGAATCAAGAACAGAAGGAAAAACTACACACAAGTGTGGCTCTGTTAACTAAGAGAGAGCAGCCTGCTAGCACTAGCCAAGAAACCAGCTTAGAACCATTTCATACTTAAATGGCTTTTTGCATTATTTAATTGTTAATACAGACACCAGTTGTTCAACTTCTCTCCTTCAGATTTGAGTCATATGCGTCGTGCGTTTTAGCCAGAGTAGAACCTGTTCTGTGGTGATGAGCTTTTAGCATGCTAAGCTAATGCTAACAGCTCCTATCTCCTCTCATATTAGACTGATGCACTGACATTCATAGAATGTCAAAGAGAAAATGGTGCACTGCTTTCATTTATCTGGCGACCACATAAGCATAATAAACAACCGAAAATTCTGCGGCCCTGAGAACAGTTAGCTGACCATGTCGAGGAAACCATGTTGAGTGCAAGTCATACGCCTACCATGTGGAACCATATCCATGTAAAATAAATAATAAAAAAAAAGCCACCGGAACAAGCTAGAACTGTTCCACACTACAGTGGAAAAGAGGCTAAAAACATGGACTTAAGTACATTAGCGTGGCTAAACATAGTAGTTTTTGATGTTTTTATAGATGGCAGTGGCGAGTGGGTCATATGACAATATTGTTATTGTGATAAATTACATCATAATAAGTACAATGTAGGTATGATCAGAGCATAATTAGTCCAGTTTGACTGGATTTAGTGCATCACAGTGGGTGAAACTGTGAATAAAAAAAAATATTTATGGTTTTCATTGTATTTTTTTTATTTTTTAAATGTGGCACTAATCATTCATTTTTGCCAGTTCTCATTTATCAAACCTGAGAAATACTAAATATTGTGATAAATACTGTGTATAATTAACATGTCATGATGTTTTTTTGTTGTTTTGCACCACCCCATATAACAGTATATCATGCATTCAATACTCATTAGCTACATTAGTGGCCAGTCTTGGCTGAGTGATTATAATTGCGATGGGTATTTTTTTTCCAAACTATTTCTTTAAGATTTCAAGTTGTGCATCATTTCTCCAGAGGTCCACTGAAGGCTGACTGCTTTACCTCAGCAGTTCTTTAGTCTGGAGGGGGGGTTGGTGTAAGGTGGAGTTGGCGCCACAGTCGATGTATCGATACGCTTCCAGTGTGTTCTGGGCACGCCGCATCATGTAGGATGTTTTCACTGAGGTCCTGTAGAATGTGGCAGATATGTTTAGAGACAGGACAGTTCACCACAAACTATTCATTTACTTGAATTTGTTTGGACCTGGAGACTCTCCGGGGAACAACGGGCCTCATTCACCAGTATCTTCCTAAGTTTTTTTTTAAACGTGTTGTTGAGAAAGGTCCAAAGAAAAAAAAATCGACATCAGGTTCATGACGTGTTCTTAGAGCGCAGAACTGTTTGCACTTTGTGCTCTTGAGTGTGTGTACATTCTGTTCTTAGCTAAAAACAAATCCAAATAAGAAAACACTGGAGAATGTCAGAAAGCTGTGTAAGTGGGTTTTAAAAAGAAATGTCTTCTTAAGAATGGTTGGTGAATGAGGCCCGTCTGACCCACGGGCACCTACAACAGCTGCGAAAGAGGCCGGGAAGGCGGTGCCCAAGCCTTCAAGGGCTGTTCTATACAGAACCATAAACACTTAGAAAACCCTTGGCATGATTAAATGTTGTGAAATGGTTCTACAGATTTATGGAGAACGTGTTATATAGGGTTCTATATAGCAACTTTTTGAAAAGTGTTCAATATAGCACCAAAAAGCGTTCTTCTATCGTTACGATGTCAAGCTTGTAATAATAGAAAACCTTTTTAGTGCTATGTAGAACCATGTACAGCACATTCTCCATCAATCTGAAAAACCACTTCACAGTGCAAAGAACCATTTAATCATATAGAGGGTTCTTTGAGTGTTCATGGTTTTATATAGAATCATTTTCTTTCCTAAATAATCCTTGAAGAGCCATTTTAAGTGTGTAATAAAAACAGCAAATTAAGTTGAAGTTGGCTTCTAATTCAAATTTTCTGTTTCACCTTAAACGATGCAGCAGGTACATTCAGTGCCTTAAATGTAGAATGAATTTCAAAAAAAGAAGCTGGTGAAAAAGGAGCAAACATCATGTCACACAGAGACATGTAGACATCCGATTTAACTCAATGATATAATTATTAATAGGCAGTTCAGCAGAGCTCTAATCAGCCACTGGAGCTGCTGGACTGTTGAACGTGTCTCACTGCCTGATTTAAACTAAGTATGGATCAGTTATGTCTTTCTCTTACATATTTACATATATATAAAATGATACACACACATACACATACACACATATACATACACATACATACATACATACATACATACATACACATGGCCCAAAATGACTTGGAAATAAGTCTGGTTCCATTGACTTACATTAAACCTTTTGGAAAATGGTTCTACATAAGATCAAAAAGGGTTCTGCTATTGTGACGATGCCAGCACGTTCTTCATCATTAAAGCATGCAAATGGTTCTTTGAGTGTTCATGGTTTTATACAGAACCATTTGCTTCTGTAAAGGACCCTTGAATAACTATCTTTTTAAGAGTGTATGTCAAACTCTTATTTCAAAACAGTGAGGAAATTCAGTTTTCCATGACAGGGGCTCTTTAAGGGCTTGGTCAATGAAGAAAAAATGTGAATGCTGAATAAACAGAATAATAAACTTTAATATATATTGTGCTCAGACTTTTCTGTATGCTGCTGTACATTTCAGATCAGAAATCAGTTTGCTTACTTTGGGCAGTAGTTGTGCTAATATGATTTATTCCTGTGGAAATGATGAACACATTAACAAAGCACTTTTCAGTGCACTAATTGAGGAGATCGTAAAAAACGTTGATCAGAGTTTTCTTCATGTTACTCAAAAGTGTTTTGAAGTATTGTGAAATTCAGTTGCACAGCAAGAGGAAACCAGAGCGGCGACAGAGGAAGAGAAAACCAACATGAGAGGCGAAACGAGACACTTACTGCATGAAAACTACGATGTTGTGAACCTTGATGCTTGCCATGGTGCAAAACGCACTGTATAAAAAACACAAGTGCAAAGAATGAGAAGAAATTACACACATCACAGCAGACACCTAATACTGAGGGTGAGAGAGTGGACTATAGAGGAGCTTACAGGCAACTAAATGGTAAAAATAAGAGAATAAAGCGAATTTTCATGTCTGTATGATGCAATAACAATTCATTCCTCTCTGTTTGTCTCCTACACCAGACCTCTGACATCAGTGACAGCAGAGTTAAACCAGCACTTACTACACATACGACAGACTCCCACTGATCTCCACACCGACTGTAAAATTCATCTGCAGAGAGAGAGAGAGAGAGAGAGAGAAAGAGAGAGAGAGAGAGAGAGAGAGAGAGAGAGAGAGAGAGAGAGAGAGAAAGAAAGAAAGAAAGAAAGAAAAGATAAAGAGGGGAAGAGAGAGACAAATAAAGAGAAAAGGGGAGAGAAAGAAAAGAGAAAGGGGGAGATAAAGAAAGATAAAGAAATGAAAGAAAGAAAGAAAGAAAGAAAGAAAGAAAGAAAGAGGAAGAAAGAAAAATGAAACAGGGGAGCGAGAAGAAAGAGAGAGAGAGCGAAAGAAAGAAAGAAAGAAAGAAAAGATAAAGAGGGGAAGAGAGAGAGAAAGAAAAGAGAAAGGGGAGATAAAGAAAGACAGAAATGAAAGGGAGAAAGAAAGAAAGAAAGAGAGAAAGAAAGAAAAGAGAAATAAGGAAGCCAGGAGAGAGAGAGAGAGGGACAAAAAGAGAGAAAGAAAAGGGAAAGTGGAGTAAGAGAGAGGAGAGACAGACGAGAAAGAGGCGAGAGAAAACGAGAGAGAGAGAGAGAGAGAGAGAGAGAGAGAGAGAGAGGTAAAAGGGGGAGAGCAATAGGAAAAAGAGAAAGTGAGAGAGAGAAAGAGAGAAAGAAAAGAGAAAGGGTGTGAAAGAGAGAAGGAAAAAAGAAAGGAGGACAGAGAGACAGACAGAGAGAGAAAGAGGGAGAAAGAAAAAAGAGAAGAGGGGAGAGAGACAGAGAGAGAGAGAAAGGGAGAAACAAAACAGAGAAAAGAGAAGGAAAGTAGGGGTATAGAGAGACAGAGAGAGAAAGAAAAGAGAAAACAGAAGAGAGAAAGAGAAACAGAGGGAAAAATGATTATTGAACAACTCACAGTTAGCTGTGAGCGTGTGATGATTCAGGAACTCAGTTAGCGCTGTGCTAATTGGTGGCAATAAGCTTCCATTCATTGTTAGCTTTTTTGGTCAGTGTTCTTCTGAATAGTGGCTGTTGAGCAGCGCTGCCAGTACCTGTTTCTGGCTGAGGGGCTGGATGGTGATGATGTTGTCCAGCTGCTCGGTGCCAATCACGGTCTTCATGTAGAGCACCTGACCATACACGCTGTCCACCAGCACGGTGAAGAAGTTGGTGTTGCGGAAGTTCAGAGAACTCTGAGGATGCAGGAACACAATCATTAGGACAGCTAAGGAGCAGAACATAAAACAGTTCCTAAAAACAACCAGGAATGAAGTACACTATTACAGTTGCACCGATACCGATACTGTATTGCTATTGCCGCTAATACTGGCACTTAACCGCAGTATCGGTGATGGGGATATTAATACCTATGACTGGTGTCCATGAAGCAGTTTCTGGTGTGTGCATGCACGCCAGTACACAGAACTTAACAACACTTTGGCGGTGTGGGAGCGACATGCAGCAGTAAAAATGCTATCAGATGAACACACTAACGAAGCCGCTTATCTGAATGACAGAGCTGCTTCTTTCAGCAATCACTCGTCTGCCGCTGTATGGTCACTTACAGTCCAAGTAAATTTTACTGACAGAGCAGAAGGAACCGCTGGACTCTTGGTGTAATGATAGCATTTAGCCTTGATTTAGCCTTTAGCATAGCAGCTTGCTAGCTGGGCCAGTTTTTAGTCACAGACTGTGATTCTGCAGACTGTGGATCTGCAACTAGATTTTTGAGATTATTTCCCATCATGCACCTGGTGGAAATTTACAAGAAGAGAAACCCTGGTCCTTCTCCACTCTGTATTGGTACAGATGGGAAGATTGGCTGAGCATGTAAAGATCTGGGGCTCAGCTCAGTTCACTGTAGAACTGTACATTCTGGCAGATCATCGCCCAGAATTTTTGTTAATTAACCTGTAAAATGTGCAGTTACTTTTTAATTTAATATACAGATTTACACATCAACAACACATGCAGCAATTCAGCTTTGCTGATTGGGTGTTATGAACTAAACCATCAAAAATAAACAAACAAAATAAGAAACCACTTTAACAGAAAGCAAAAAATGGAAAAACATTGATGCATGTTTCCTTACATTACTGTTATACACTCAGTGAAGAATTATCATGCAATCATCAGATTAATCTGCTTATGGGGGTCCGAAGCTCAAGTGACAATACAAAATGTTCTTCTGACTGTCGCGTGCAATTACACATTTCCACCAGAGAAGTCTCCAAATCCCCAAATCTTACAGAGTGCTGCTTTAAAAAGTGGAGCTGTATGAATCTCACGACTTATAAGCTAGTTCAGTTAGATAAGGTTAGTATCAGAACTCTGTACAGATCGTGCGCTAAGGTAGCTTACAGTCATGTTGATGAGGACTCGGCTTTTCTCTTGGTCAAAGACAACAATAACTGAGCGGATCCCTCCATCCTCCACCAGCACGGGCCGCGGGAACATGAAGAACGCCACCAAGCAGGAGACCAGCAAACACACAATCACTGACAGACCCACATACAGCTTCCTGTGAACAACAATAACAAAAAAAAGTTAGAGTCAACATTCAACCACAAAAATGACCTGAATTCAGCCATATAAATGCACTGAATTAAGATTGCCACACAAAGGAACGCAGAAATTCCTAAAAACATCCTTTAAATTCCACCCTGAGGCACATCATGACAATTATTCAGTTGACAACTATAATAAAATCTGTAAATTTCAGAGTTGAATCTATACATTTTATCACCAATTCTATACATACTTCCCTCACTTCTATCCATCCATCCATTCATTCATCTATGCAACTATGGTGACTTTATAATAGAAGAAAAATATGCCCTTAATTTTAATATGCAATAAAGGGCCCATATCTTACATTTTTCTATTATTATTTCTTTTTCCCCCTGAGGTTCACTTATAATGATTGCATGGTTTTATGTGCCAAAATGAACAGTTATTCATTTTTATATTGCCATTTTCAACCTCTTTATCTTTAAAAATTAAACAGGTGGATTCTGTTACTGCCCCTTTAAAACTCACACATGTAAACAAGCTCTGTTCTGACTGGCTAGGCTTCATTCTTCATTCAAAAAGAGATCAAGGCTGAATAGGTGTCCATGATATGGGCCCTTTCACATAAAGAGATTTTATTCCAAGCCATTTCTATCTGTCAAGTCATCACAATGGAAATAGCAGCTAGTGTTTTGTTAGTGTTTGTTTTGTCACTAATCAGTTGTGCACTCACGTCCTCTGAGGCTGCAGTCTCTGATCGCTATAGGGAATCAATGCCACCAACTCATTCACCTGACCTGAGAAAAACAATGGAGGGGTCAGAGGACAACCTGTACACTGACTACATGGTCAAGATCAACAGTACTGATCAGTCCACAGGATAGCAGAGGACATTCACATGTTCTTTATTCAAGGTAGGTGTTCTAATAAAGTGGCCAGTGAGCGGAAACACAAGGCGGATGTTTGTAGTAAAGCGGCCCGTGAGCGGAGGCACAAGCTGGGTGTTTCTAGTAAAGTGGCCAGTGAGCGGAAGCACAAGCTGGGTGTTTCTAATAAAGTGGCCACTGAGTGTATGTATCTCACCTGATGGTATGCGGCCAGAACCCTGGCAAGTAGGACAAGTTATACTATCACGTCCAGTGAACTCTACGTAAGGAAACTGGGCGATGTCCTCCTGTCTGTCCAAACCGCCCAGGGAGTCATCATCATCATCATGCACCAGTTCATCGCTCTGTGTTGTAACGCTGTGATGCGAGATAGACAGGAGCGACCTGCAGCTCTGGGACAGGTGTGCGCCCATGAGCCAACAAATGCATGCAACTTCCACTTAGACGTCTGCGGCTAGAATAAATGAATAAATAAATTAACTTTTAGGACCTCACAATTCAAAGAAAACACAATTTTCCTGATAATACTGCTATGCTCTGATTGCTGACTGCAGTAAACCATGCATTCATGTTAGTAATTGCTTAACATGATGTGACATGACTTATGATTTAAGTAGGTTAGATAACAATAACTCGATTTAATATAACGTCTTTTCACTTATTTAACCACAAGTGAACCTACACGTGTCTTCTGAGTTTTTGATATGGAATTTTGATGATAAAACAGTGTGAAACCTGAAATAATAAGTTTCCTTTTGCGTCTTTTTTGCCTCACAACACCTTGCATAATATGTATCCCTCCACCGTGAATGGATTTTAAAGCTAAATTTTTTTCAAAACTATCATAAAACAATGTCTCAGTCATCAGGCAGTGTATTCATAACCATTTCATTTAATAACTTTCTGTGAGGGAGCTTTTAGAGGTGGACGTCTGGTTCCTATTACCACCACTGTGAACAATTCTGACTCGATAAGTTTCTCTAGAACGGAACATTTCACACCAGACCACTCTGAATGATTGTTTACAACTTAAAGGTGTAACTATGCAGAATTTTTTTTAAAAAACCGGTGGAGTTTCCCTTTAATATCTGCTGACTCCTTTACATTTTACACGGCAAAGTAACGCAAACTGCATATATGACGCGGCGTAACGTTACATCCACTGACTTACTTTAATAACCCCGAAGTGGATAAAACGAACCAGTTTTCTTACCAGATTCACTTTAAATGTAGGTTCAACAGATTTTGTAGACTTTGTCGTTCTCCGTTCTCGCCGGTGCGTTGTTTTGGTTCTGCGGCGTGTTTCTTCTCTGCTAGTTAAAGCAGCGGCGCCACCGCCCCTGTACTGACGCCTGTGGACAGCAGCGGTACTACAGTCCACAGTACACCCTTGTAAAACATGGTTCTTCAAGCGTTCTTTAGTAAGGGTACTGGTTCTACTTAGAACCATGAGCTCTATAAAGAACCATTTCATGCTGGAACTGTTCTTCAGATTGGTATAGAATGTGTTGTATATGGGTGTATATATCAAGTTTGTCACAGTAGCAGAACATTTTTGTGCTTTGTGCTATATAGAACCTTTTTCAGAAGCACAACACATTCTCCATTAACCTGAAGAACGATTTATATATATATATATATATATATATATATATATATATATATATATATATATATATATATATATAAAGAACCACCTTTTTAAGAGTGTATATAAAGCTGGTTCTTAAATGGTTCTTTGCATGGTGAAATGGTTCTTCTGACCGGTCATTTTAGCACATTTTTAACTGCAACCAGTCACTTTGAGATGAGCTGAATTGCCAAAGCATGTTGGCTTCATTTCGATTCTGTTCATGTAAAGTAAATTAAGGGGAATCTGTGCAATAAAGACTTTATTTTTTCTTTGTACAGGATGAGTCAGCTTCATAAGATATGTACACTGTGCACATTTATTTAAGGGTATTGTGTCAAGTTGACTGTGTCAACTGAATTTTCTGCTAATCTGAAGCAGCCACAGCATCTAAAATTAGGCCTGATTATTAATGAAAGTATGTGCCGCCTCACAAACACAGCAATACAACAGCAAATATTTATTTAGCAGCAAAACAGATTCTACCATTATTATGAAAAAGTATCAGTATTACTATTAGTATGTGTATCAGTATTAGTATTAAATATTCATATTGAAGTTTCGTTCCTGCTCTCTCTCTTAGGTGTTCCTCAGGAAACCCCCACCGGAGCTGAATCTCACTGCAATTAAAAAAATATTTTAAAATGTTTAATAAAACACACATCCTTATACACCAAACCAAGTGTGTATGTTTGTACGGACCGTGCGAGTTGGTCTGCTCTGTGTCAGAGTCCTCCAAATAAAAGAGAGAAAAAAAAACAATCAGTTCCTCGAGCAGCAGCACACATTTATACGGATACAGCACTTTATTTATTTATTTTGCTGATGTTTTTCACTGCTGTGGTGAGAATCTGTGCCTATTCTTCATAATACAAAATACATAAAGTCAACAGCAGGGGGCGCTGCAACCCTGGACGTTTTCAGACACTAAGCATCGCATGGACCGGGCTGAAGATTCTCCACAAGGGGGCGCTATGAACACTGAAATAACTTCATATTAATGACACAATGTCACTGAATAGGCTACATTTTGAACATAACCCTAACTCTAATGATGTTGATAGTTAATCTAGCGTGTAAGGCCTTCAGTGAAGCTCCTGAAGTCCTAACCGATGGGAGAGCTCGATTGTCTATCTACCTAGATACCACAGAGAGAACAATCCTGATTGGGCAATTTTCCACTCCCCTTTGTGACCCCTTTGTTTCCAGCCAAAACTTAAAAATAAAACATAAAACAAGTTAACTCTGCAGACAGAGTTGTTGGGTTGTTTTGATTAAGTAAAGATAATTCAATAAAATACAGTTAACTTACCAAATTAAACTTAATTTTTTTGGCAGAAAAAGATTTTTTTAAATTTAGAAAAAAGTTTAAACTTTGTTTGCCATGCCCTTGCACTTTAGAGCAGGAAGTGAGGCTGCATCCCTGTCCCTCATGGCTACATAGTGAGCAGGTCCCATTGTTTTAAAGTAAATGTGTCCCAAAGTCTGAAAATCAGTGTGGAACATTAAAATTGTCATTGTTTCGATAGTTTAATACTTTGTTTTGGTGTTTTAATGAAAAATATGATGATTTTAGGTGTGTACAGCTGTTCAAAGCTGTGTTTGCTGGTCATGTACTGGCAGTATTTTTAAATTTCTGCCCAAAATGCACTAAAATTGTCACTACTGAAACAGTCACTATTGAAACATTTGGTAAAGTTTAGTAGTATTATGATTGTTTTGGCAGTAACACAGTGGAACGTTTTTTAATTTTTAATTATAAGCTTTAAGGATGTGTATGTGATACACTTACGTCTCCATGTTTGTCCTGCAGTTTCCTCTTCAGTTCAGTGTTTTCTCTCTGCAGGACATTATTCTGTGCAGAAATTAAGCAAACTCATAATTTACACCGTTTATTCACTCACTCACGGCTCCAGTGTTAAAGACGAAGATTAAAGGGGACCTATTAAACTCATTTTCAGTGTTCATTATTTTATTTTTGGGCTCTACTAGAATAGATTTACGTACTTCAATGCTCCGAAAACACATTGTTTTTCTTGTTAAGCCCCACCTCCCGATGAGCCCAGTGTGCTTTCAATGGTCAGTGTAGCCCCTATTGTACACAACTTACGTCACATGGTGTCAGCTGGTATCAGATGTTGGTTTCAGTGCATTTTTATGGGTACGAGTAAATAACCATGGTATCAGCTCAATACCCGGAACCAGTATTAGTACTGATGCATCCAATTTGGATTAAAATTTTGAAAATGTGTCCCCAAACATATGACACCCTAATATAACTGAGTTTTTTTGTACACGAGTTAGCGTGCTGTATATTTTCTGACCTTGTGTCTGAGAGCCTCCACCACCAGATCCCGACTCCCTCTCAGATTCGTACTCTGCCGACTTGCACGAAACGCGTCTCCAATCACTGACACCATCAGGTGGGACTGAGGAGAGGAAAAGCGGAAAAGAAGAGAGCAGTTAGCATCTATCACCTTCTGCTACACAAAGACAGTCCACCAGTGCTGTTATGGTGAGAGAATAGTGAAAAGTCTAATTTACAGTAAGCTCTAAAGGCAGTGGCCGAAAATGCTTAAAGGATTCAAAATCCCACATTTTCCTTATCTTATTTATAATATTTGTGTTGCTTTATGTACCAAAAGTGATCATAATTCCTTTTTTCTAGACCATTTTCGATCGTTTCAACCATTTACACGCTTAAAACAAGGTTCTTAAAGGGTTCTTCAGTAAAGGGAATGGTTCTATTTTGTTTGCTATTTTGTTGCTGTGCCTTTAAGAGTGATACAGTCTTTGCAACAGTTTGTGCACCCCCATGTTTGTTGTTGATTTTCTAAGTGTGAAGAAGTTAACACGTCCTCTATGGAGAGCACACTACTTTTAATACATAGTTACTGTTTAATTACTGAGCTTAACACATTTGAGGAAAAACTAAAACATAAAATGTGGCTTGCAGAAAAGTTGAAGCACATTTTATTTTTGGTTCACACTTAATAACACTTATTATGGCTTCAGCACAAATGTAAATGTGCAGGTTTTTCATGACATCACAAATTCAAAACAGACATTATTCAGTTTACATTTCAAAAATGATGGTTCTTCAAGGGTTCTTTTGATAAGATAATGGTTCTATATAGAGCATGGTGAGTATGGGTGCTAGATATGCCAAATTCACTCCTACCAAATTCCACCTATACTAAGAGCGCAATGTGTAAGGGTGCCAGATACATGGAATTCACCCCTATGAAATAACACCTGTAGCCCCTCACAGCACAGTGGATATGAGTTCCAGATACACCAAAATCACCCTCCTACAAAAACCCTCTGAACCCAGAGTATGGTGAGCATTGGCGCTAGATAATCACATGCTTAAATGATTCTTTGTATGGTGAAATTGCTCTTCAGATTGATGAAAAATGTGTTGTATTTGTTTCTACATAGCACAAAATGTGCCGACCTTTATGACATTGCAAAAACAGTGCATTCAAAACTTAGTTTCCAGTTTAGTTTCCATATATACACTGTATGTACAGGGGCATGAACAATATGATTGAAACTTTAACAGTGTTTACATACTGTATCAGGCCATTTTATTAAAAAAAGTGAGGAAAACGTAATATTTCATGATACGGGCCCCTTGATTGAATGTTCTTTTTTACTGTATGTATGTATTATTGTGAAAGGTTTGCATTTACACTAGAAACAACATACTTTATACTCCTTATATTTTATTTAGACCCTCAGAGCACTTATTCCAAACCTCAAGGACCAGATGATCTCTCTATTCTTTTCTCTCCAGTCAGAGTTCTAATGAATTTGAATTTATTGCTTATATGAAAACATCCAACCAAATTCATATCAATGTAAAATAAACCCAACTGCTAACTTGTCTTTTCCACTAGTTTACCATCATCAACATTCCGTATAAAACTCAGAAGACTTGTATAGGTTCACTGGTGGTTTTGGATAGTAAATAAAATGTCTATATTTGTGTTGTAGTCATGGTGACCCCTGGTTACTATCACCACCACTGTAAAGAAACCTGAACCATTTCACACCAAACCACTCTGAATCACTCTGTTTACATCTCAAACACTCAATTACGGAGGTGTGTTTCAGTTCTGGTCAATAAGGGGCGCTGATGGACAATGCAGTACTCACAAACTTCCTGCTCTGGAAGATGTAGCAGTGGAAGGTGTCGACTGCCGGGTGTTTAGCGATGAAGCCGAAGAGTTTAGGCTGCGTCTGATGAACAGCACAGAACGAGACGGAGGAGAGAGAGCACGTATAGAGCATGAACTGAGAGAGAGAGAGAGAAAGAGAGAGAGAGAGAGAAAGAGAGAGAGAGAGAGAGAGAGAGAGAGAGAGAGAGAGAGAGAGAGGAGAAAAAGAGAGAAAGGGAGAGAAAAAGGGAGAAAATGAGATAAGGAGAACAAAGAGAAAGAGAAGAGAGAGGATAAAGTGAGATAGAGTGAGAAGAGAGAGAGAAACGACGGACAGGGGGAAAAAGGAGAGAGAGAAAAGAGATGGTAAAAGATGAGACAGAAAAGAGAGAAGTAGAGAAGAGAGAGAAAAAAGAGAGGGGGAAAGGGGGAGCAATGGAGAGGGAGATAAAAAAGAAAGAGAGAGGGAGAGGGTTGGAAAGTGAAGAAAGGGAACATGGAGAGGGAGATAAAAAGAGAGAAAGAGAGGGGGAGAGAGAAAGAGACAGAACAAGATGTATGTGTGAGAGAATAAGCAATGGGGAAAAAGAGAGAGCGATAGAAGGAAAAAGTGAAAGACAGATAATGAGAGAGGGAGTGAGAGAATGGGGAAAGAGAAAGACAGAGAGAGAAAGGAAAAAAGAGGGCAAAAAAGGGAGAAGGGGCGAGGGTAGGTGAGAAAGTGAGAGAGAGGTGTAGAGAAAGAGAAGAGAGAGAGAGAGAAAGAGGCAGAGTGAGGGAATGAGAGAAGAGAGATCATTATAACTTTAATAATTAGTGATTAAGCTATAATAATCCATGTTTACAGTAATTAATAATGGTTCCAGTCTGAGCTGCTGTTATATCAATATGTCTGACAGTGAATGAGCTTTGATCTTTGATCTGAATCAGTCTCTCTCTGCTGCGTCAACGCTGATCAGTCTGCTGCGGAGCTGATAACCAGCAGCTCCTCTCAGTCATTACCTTCGTTTTATGCTCGAGGATGTCGATGGCGCTCCTGGAGAGGAACAGGTGCACTTTGGTCTTCTTCTTCTTCACCTTCTCACTCACTGCTCTGTCGGGGTTCTAAGAGAGGGATGAAGGAGATGAGATTTTTAATTGTGGAAATACATCTAAAAATACATCTCAATATTTTTTGAAAAGTAGATTTTAAAGAAACCCATTTAAACTAGAAAAGTATGTTTCCTAAAGCTTTAGTAGTTGTCAGGCAGTTGCTAGGGTGTTGCTGAACAGTTAATATGGTATTTTAGGTGGTTGCTAAGATGTTCTTAAGATGTGCTGTGGTATCCCAGGTGGTTGCTAGGTGGTTGTTAAAATATTCCAAGTGTTTGCTAAGGTGTTCCTAGGTGGTTGCTATGGTATCCCAGATGGTTGCTAGGGTGTGGCTAGGCAGTTGCAATGGTATTCCTGGTGGTTGCTAGGGTGTTTCCAGGTGGTAGCTGTGGTATCCCAGATGGTTGCTAAGGTGTTGCTAGATGGTTTCTATGATACTCAAAGTGTTTGCTGAGGTGTTGCTAGGTGGTTGCTATGGTATCCCAGGTGGTTACTAGGGGGGTGATAGGTGGTTGCTGTGGTATTCCAGGTGGTTACTAGGGGAGGGTGCCAGGCAGTTGCTGTGGTATTCCAGGTGGTTTCTGGGGGGGAGGGGGTTGCCAGGCGGTTGCTATGGGGGGATCCTAAGTGGTTGCTAGGGCGTTGCTAGGTGGTTGTCAGGTGGTTGCTGTGGTAACCTGTGTGATTGCTAAGGTGTTGCTAGATGGTTTCTATGGTACCCCAGATGGTCACTAGGGGGGCGCCAGGCGTTTGCTATGGTATTCCAGGTGGTTGCTATGGTGTTTTCAGGTAGTTGCTGTTGGATTAAGGGTTCTGCTATTGTTACAAGTTTGACATCGTAACAATGGCAGCACCCTTTTTGATGCTAGGTAAAACCATTTTCAAAAAGGTTCTAGGCATAACCATGTACAATTTCACCATGCAAAGAACCATTTAAGCATGTAAATGGTTTTATGTACACTCTTTAAAAAGATGGTTCTTCAAGGGTTCTTTAGTAATGACAGTGGTTCAATTTATAACCATGAGTTCTATATAGAGCCATTTTAATTTTTTTGAATGGTTCTTCGCATGGTGAAAGGGTTCTTCAGTTTGATGGAGAATGTGTTGCGATGATATCAAGCTTGTAACAATAAATGAACCCATATGGAACAACACATTCTCAAACAGGTGCTATATAGAACCGTATACAACACATTCTCCATAAATCTGTAGAACCATTTCACCATGCAAAGAACTTTTAAAGCTTGCAAATTGTTCTACATGGAACTGATGGTTCTAAACAGAACCATTAACCTATTCTAAAGAACCCTTGCGTAGGTCAATAAATTTAAGTATTTAAGTAAATTTTTTACAGTGCATTGAAAGCAGTTCGAAAAAATGTGATCCTCCAGTATAAACACTGTGATTGCGAATTATTTTAAGTGTGTTGTTGTTGTGAAGAACCTGTAGAGCTGCTGCTGCCTCCATCAGGATCTCCATCCCGTCTGGACGGACCACCTCCACACGGTCCAGGAACTGAAGAGTAGACCCAACATCAGTGACCGTCAACCAAACACACATTTGTCATTTCACTGTCTGGCAATATTCACTGTATACTCTTAAAAAGATGGTTCTTTAAGTGCTCTTTAGTAAAGAAAATAGTTCTATACATGTCTATGGACACTCAAAGAACCCTTAACATGATTAAAGTGTTCTTTGCATCCTGAAAGAGCTCTTCAGACTGGCATTCTATATAACATCAAAAAATGTGACATCGTTACAATGTTAAGCTTGTCACAGCAGAAGAACCTTTTTTGATTTTTTAGAGGCCTTTCAAAAAGGCTGTATGTAGAACCATAGACAACACAATATCCATCAGTCGGAAGAGCCATTTCACCATGCATAGAACCATTTAATCATGCAAAGTGTCCATGGTTCTATATAGAACCATTTTCTTTACTAAAGAACCCTTGAAGAGCCATTATTTTTAAGTATGACATTTACAGTACAGTAATATCCAAACTGTTCTAATCTGTTCTGATTGGCCTTCCTGCATTCTGAATAGGAGGATATTTGTAAATGCGCTGGTTTTAATGACATCACAAAAACAATGAATTTAAAACAGACTGTTTATGTTACTGTCCCTTTAAGACTGATGTATGTAAATGAGCTCTGTTCTGATTGGCCCTCCTGCATTATGTTACTTGTACAAAAAAACAGTCCAGGCTAAACTGCTATAGGTTGAATAGGTGTATATATGCAAATGTGATGGTTTTAATAACATTACAAAAACAATGAATTCAAATCGAGCTGTTTTTGCAGTGTAGCGTTCATATATGGACTGTATGGACGGAAGAGCGAATGTTTTGAAACTTTTAACACGGTTCAAATTAAATTTAAAATTGATTAAATTTAAAATTAAATTTTGAAAACTGGAAATGTTATTTTATTTATTTTTTATGTAGCTTATTTATTTACCTTTTGTTATAAAATAATAAAATATTAAATTAAATTTAATATTAAAAATACTACTTCAAATATCGACCCTTTAACTTATTTCCAGACATTTTAAACTTGTTTTAAGTCATTTTATTAAGTGGAATTATGTCAGTATGTTGGCAGAAATAAGAAATATAACTGAAACAAGTAAAGTCATCAGGTGATATAGTGAGATTATTTTATTTGTAAAATAAAATAAATGCAATATAAAGAATATAATAAATAGTGCTAACAACAATAATAAAAATAAACAAATTCCAGTTACTGTTAAGTGTACATATATATATATATATATATATATATATATATATATATATATATGTGCAGTTTATCTAATTTTATAGCACTAAGACAGCCCCAACATCAAACTCTTATTTCAAAAAAAGTGAGAAATTCAGTTTTTTATGATATGAGCCCTTTAAATCTACATCTAAGACTGAACGTTGGAGGTGTGTCTGCAGATTTCTTTGAGAAACTGAAAGTGAGTTTCCTGAAAAGAATGGAAGCTATAATAAAGGTAAAAGGTGTCACACTGAACACTCAAACAGCTGATATTAGATTTAGCTGTTGAGGCTTCTGTGTCATTTTTTTGTTTTCTGCCTTTTTCCTGACACCGAAAATGAAAAACTTGCACTTAATGACTGTTTTGACTTTAAATTAAATACACAAAGGGTGACTTATGCACAGCACTACATATTAAAATGAAATAATGTACACATGGCTTAAAAAGATCCATCATCAAATGTCTTTTAAAATAATTTTTATCACTCTTCACTGCCTGATTATCATAATTTCATAAGTTCATCCACAAGCCAGCACTGCTGCTGATACATGAGTGATACTGTTTTACTCTAAATAAACCCGATTCCTGCTTTAATGTGATCAGACGTTTCAAACTGATCAATAGATTAACACACTCAGTCGGATTAATAGCATTTTGAAAAGCTATGTGTCTCCAAACATGGGTGACGTAGTTTCGTGAGAAAAAGCTTTCACTCACTTTCACAGAGAAGGAAATCTCAGTGTCGTCCTCAATGTCACTCATCTTCAGCCCTTAAATCGATAACACAAAATAAGAGACAATACAGTCAAAGGGGAACTCCACAACAGATCCCACAGGACCCCCACAGAGCAGGTATTATTTGGGTGGTGGATCATTCTCAGCATTGCATTGACACTGATGTGGTGGTGGTGTGTTAGTGTGTGTTGTGCTGGTGTGAGAGGATCAGACACAGCAGTGCTGCTGGAGGTTTAAAACACCTCAGTGTTGCTGCTGGACTGAGAACCAAAAACATCTAGCCAACAGTGTCTTGTGGGCAGCGTCCTGTGACCACTGATGAAGGACTAGAGGATGACCAACACAAACTGTGCAGCAGCAGATGAGCTATCGTCTCTGACTTTACATCTACAAGGTGGACCAACAAGGTAGGAGAGTCTAATAGAATGGACAGTGAGTGGACACAGTTTTTAAAAACCCCAGCAGCACTGCTGTGTCTGATCCACTTGCACCAGCGCAACACACACTAACACACCACCACCACGTCACCACCACACAAATAATACCTGTTCTCTGGGGGTCCTGTGGGGGTCCTGACCACTGAAGCATGCAGAGAAACAGATGGACTATAGTCTGAAACTGCAGAACTACAAAGTGCTCCTATATGGTCAGTGGAGCTGATAAAATGGACAATGAGTGTAGATAAAATGAGGTGACTTCAATGTTTATTGTATATTTATTATTATAAATGCTATTACTACTACTGCTGATAACAATCTTATTAATAACTTTCATTTTGGAGCATTTTTCAAACACATAACAGCTCTGCAAGTGCTTTGCAAGCAAGTGATTTTTCCTGTCTTTATTAGATCTAATATTGATATCAAAAGTTAGTAATTCATTCCTAGACCATTGTCTTTACTAAAAAACCATTGAAGAACCACCTTTTTGAGAGTGTATCGTATGCAAGCTTGACATCAAAACACTAGCAGAATCATTGTTGGTGCCATACAGAAACATTTAACTATGAAACTGTTCTACCTAGAACTCATGGTTCTAACTAGAACCATTCCGTTTACTAAAGAACCCTTGAAAAATCATCTTTAAGCGTGTACGGAAAAATTAAATAATAAATAACAAATTGTGAGAAGAAACTTTTAAAAACAACGGCTAAATAAACTATCATAAATGTATAAATGTACTAATTTAATAAAATGTTGCTTAAAAAGACACAATTCAAATGTGTTTACCGCTCTCGACTACCTACTATAATTACATATAATGATGTATGTTATGTAATGTAACGCCCTGAGTCGCACATGCTGAACATGAGTTTGATAAAAAATAACCATATTTTGCTGACAGAACTGACAGCTCACATACAACTTGATACATATTCAACACAATATGAGACATATAAATATGAATAACTTACTTTTTCAACGTGAATCCCTAGAAACTAAGCACCTTCAGTTCTCAGGTTTAAAGTCTAATGACTAACCCTCGCTCTGCTCTTCCTTATTGCATCTGCTGTGACGCAGTCCATCATTTATGATCCTCACAGCACAAAACCTCTCAGCACTAACAGCTCATACGCTGAACTGTGTGCTTTTATTTAAGAAAAAAAGCCATAATTAATGTTTATATGACTACTTTCTAACCTCTCTTAAAGCCTGAGATTATACAGTGTTCTATTGACACTGGGACACATTTCCCATATACTTTCAACTTCTTTTAAATTCTTTGTCTTTTCTCAAGCATTTGTTTCTTTACATGTCACTTTGCTGTAAGGACAGTAAATTACTCATAAATGAAGGAATTTTACAGGGTGATAATACTCATCTATTCCCTGTAGATGCTGGACAGCCACACAAATGTAAGTGGACTACTTTGCATTGCAATTTAAAGAGCCACATAATATGCATTTCGTTCTGGTTAACCTCCATTACTTTTGAGATAAGGTCAAAACAGAATACAAAATAAAAATAACATTTCAAAGAAGACAGAGAGTAAAAAGGAGAAAGAATAATAAAGTGCAAATACAAATGCTTCATAAGAAACATCCATCCATCCATCCATCCATCATCTAAACCGCTTATCCTTCTGGGTCGCGGTGGGGTGCTGGAGCCTATCCCAGCTGTCATTGGGCGGAAGGCAGGATACACCCTGGACAGGTTGCTCATAAGAAACAAATAATTAAAAAGAAGCTGAAGGTATAGGCAAAATGTGCCTATGTGTCAAAGCACTTAGTGACCAAAGGGGTAAAGTGAGGTCATATTTATTTTGTCTGTCCAGAAATGAGGCGATTCACTGAAAATGACATAGTTTTTCAAAATAAAAATAAGGACTTTTATTTTGAAAATATCTCTCAGTACAATGACATAGTAGTCTGTATTAATATAATGTAAAATGTGTATACTTCATAAATGTTCATTTAAACCTTCATGAACATGTTACGAGGGGTTTATGTGAGATGTTATGAATGTGTTATGTAGACACTTTTCAAGTGTCACCGAAAAAACAAATTTTCTTTGCTTTTTTTGGAGTAAAAAAGTTTGGGGTCATATGTAAACACTGTTTAAAGGTGCAAAATAGTGCAATTATCAAGTTTTATACAGTCCATACACTCTTAATAAAGATGGTCCTTCAAGGGTTCTTTAGTAAAGGCAATGGTTCTATATAGAACCATGAACACTCAAAGAACCATTTCATGCTAAATGATTCTTTGCATGGTGAAATTATTCTTCAGATTGATAGAGAATGTATTGTATACTAGTTCTATATAATGCAAAAAGGGTTCTGCTATTGTTTACAAGTTTGACATCAACACAATAGCAGATACCTTTGGTGGTATTAAGAACCATATAGGCAACACATTTTCCATCATTCTGAAGAACTATTTCACCATGCAGAGAACCCCTGATTCTTTGAGTGTTTATGGTTCTCTATGGAGCCACTGTCTCTACTAAAGAAGCCTTGAAGAACCATCTTTTCAAGAGTCTAGAAGGAAAACTAAACTGAAAAAAGCTTGTTTTGAATTTGTGATGTCATGAAAAACCAGCACATTTACATTTGTGCGGAAGCTGTATGAAGTGTTTCAGCCCGGACTGCTTTTTAAATGAGGCACAGTCGATCAGAACAGAGCTCATTTGCATATTTAAGTCTTATAGTAACAAAGCCTGTTTATTTATAAGGTATACATTCTAATTATGATTATGGCTGCTGTTTAAAAGCCATTCAATTGTTATAAGTGGGAAAAATTATATAAGAAAATTGCAGGATATGGGCTATTTAAGACAGACATGTAAATGAATGAATTGGTGTCAGTAAGTAAATTTTGATCTCTGTGACATCACAAAAACAATTAGCCTGCTTTCGCAGTATAGTTTCCATATATGGATTTGGGGGAGAGCAGTACATTTTAATACTTGTTTACAGTGTTTACATGCCACATCTGGTTCTTTGTTCAGAGAAAAGTGTTCAGGCCCTTTAAGAGTTTACGAAGTAGAAGGAGAAGAGTAATGGTAGTATTTGGCCACTAGATGGTGATGCTACATATAAGATGATGGTGCTGTTTCATGTTTTGTTTATTATTAGCATGATAGAACAGCAAAACAACTCAAATCATAAACATACTGTTATATGATTCATGAACAGCTCTGAATGTGCAGCTTATTTGTGCTTTGTTTTTGACCTGCTGAAGCTCACAGTGCAGTATTATTACGTTTCCTGTGATTTTGTATTTGCATTGTATCATAAGGGGAAACACAGTGAATTCATATTTATGTTTATATATGTCTCTTTTTTGTCCTGTTGTTTGTAATTGTGTTGTTATTTCATACCGACCATGGCATTTTCAGTTCACACATTTGTTTTACAGCCAGGTATTCTAAACATATAACACAAAAATAAAAACACAACACGCTACTCAAATATTAAGTCTAGTCATATAAAATTACATATATCACAGCTTTAACAATAGCTGTATAGTTTTGGGTATGAAAGTTAACCCTTTAAAATGTTCAGGGTCCTCTGACGGCCCCAAAGTTTTATTACACACTTCTATAATCTAAGAATAGCTCAGCCAGTTTGCACTTAAGTTCCTAAGCCTTAGTATGTAACGAGCCTGGAATTTAAAGGGGTTAAGTGGATGGTCTGGAAAAGTCAGTATCAGTTTTGCTTTCTTGGTGACGTGTCGGATGAATATGTCATTTAAGGTAGTTTGGTCAGAGCCAAGTATGTTGTTGAGATGATTCTTATATCCAAAAAAAGTTCCAAAACCAAGTGATCATTGAAAAAGTTAAAACAATTCAATAAATGACTTCTAGAAGAGGCTCATGATCTTCTATCCACATTAAACATGTCTATTTTTATTAAGAAGTGCAATCTCTGCTGCCCTTTTTTACAGACTATATCAGTGATCACATTAAAGGGCAGTTTATCACTGTCCACAGGTATTTATAACTGTCATAAAATTCAGTCATGGTTTCAGTCACATTTCTTAAAACAAGCAAAATGATCTACCAACATAATGAGATAATTTTACTTAATAAAATCACTTAAAACAAGTAAAAATGTTTGGAATGAGGTTAAATAATCTTACAATAAGCTACAACAATCTCGACCGAAGAAATACTGGATATATTGACTAGACTTAACAAGACACTATTTTTTGCTGTGAACATGAATAAAGATTATTATCACTTCTATTAAATATATTACATCAACACAAGTTTACTTAGTTCACTCAGTGCTGATGAAAAATAATATTCATGTGGAAATGATGTACATTTGAATGCTTTGTTACTGTTTTGCACTGCACAGTGTGTTTGTATGTGTGTATTTCTATCTAAGCAGGACCTGCTGACCTGCAGTGTTTCAGTTCACTTCACTGCGCTTACAGTAACATTCACAACCTTGCAGTCACTTCCCATATTAATAATTTCTGTAAGTTTATTTGGATCGTTTTACTGAACTGCATTCTCAAAATGATGGTTCTCCAAAGGTTCTTTGTGAAAGAGTGGTTCTATCTAGAACCATGGGTTCTATGAATTCCATGTAGAACCATTTGCATGCGAAAATTGTTCTTCGGTTCTTCAGATTGATGGCGAATGTACTGTATATGGCTTGCAATATGATGCAAAGAACCCTTTAATCATAGAAAGGGTTCACTCAGAGAATGCTTTCCACGATTAAAGGGATCTTTGCATCATTAAATGGCTCTTCTTCAGTTTGATGGAGAATGTGCTGTATATGGTTCTATATAGAATCTTTTTGAAAATGGTTCTATATAGCAACAAAAAGGGTTATTTTATTGTTACGATGTCAAACTTGCAGCAACAAAAGAACCTGTTTTGGTGCTATATAGATCCATTTCAAAAAGGTTCTATATATAACCATATACAACACATTCTCTATCAATCTGACGAACCATTTCACCATGCAGACAACCATCTAAGCATGCAAAGGATTCTTTGAGTCCTCATGGTTCTATGTAGTGCCATTGTCTTTACGAAAGAACCCTTGAAAAACCATCTCTTTAGGTGTGCACTTTTGAAATATGATTAAATCTGGACATTAATTTTAGACACTATATTAAAAGTACAAAAAAACAGTTCCTCGGCATGATGCCATAGAAGAACCACTTTTGGCTCCCCTAAGGACCTTTTAATCAAATGTTCTCATTTACAAAAAATCTAAACAATGAGTTGTGATTGTTGCTTAGGAGGCCTTCTGATGTTTTTAGTGTTTTTTTTTTTTGCACTGGGCCCAGAAGATCCTGGTGACACCACTGTTTCCAGATACTGGTTTCATTCCGTTCCTGCTGTTTGTCCTTGAAGTTCAAAGGAACTGGCTTTACTTTCTCCAGCCGTTGTTAAGCTCCACCAAATGCGAAGCTTTTGTTGGTTAAAAACAAACTGCCTTCATTGTTCCAGTAACTTAACCGCACAATGAGGTGAAGAACTTCTGCGGCATCTCAATAAACTGGCCTGTCCAGTTGATGGAGAGCCGAAAGGCAGATCGAGGCTAAATTTAGCTTCATGTTAGATGAGTTCTCCATCTGGATAGACAATGAGCACATAATCAACGAACACAGGCAGATCATTAACCCCTTAAATGGCCAGGGTCCAGTGACAGGCCCAAAGTTTTATTATTAGTCCCTGTAGTTACTGAATAATAAGCCTTAGTATGTAATAAGCCTGAGATTTTAAGAGGTTAAAGGGCCCAAATCATGGAAAAGCAAATGTTCCTTGATTGTTTGATGCAGTATGCTATTCAGCAGTTAAAGTGGTAACTTTTGGTTCTCTTTATCACTTAGGGTGCAGGAAACAACTCAAGCAGTTGCATTTCTTTGTAAATATTCAGGCGTCTCAATTTTTTAAATATTTTGGGTGACCAGGGTCCTTTCTGTGTGGAGTTTATATGTTGCATGTTCTCCCTGTGTCTGTGTGGGTTTCTTCCCACAGTCCAAAGACATGCAGTCAGGCTAACTGGAGATGCTAAATTGCCCCAAGGTGTGAGTATGAGTGTGTATGTCTGTGTACCTGCCCTGTAATGAACTGGCGGCCTGTTCGGTGTGTTTTCTGCCTTCCGCTCAATAAGTGCTGGGATAGGCTCCAGCACTCCCTATGACCCAGGAGAATAAGCAGCTTAGATGATGTGTGTGTGCACTTACTTTTAATTATGCCTTTGTCACAGTCCTTGCAAAAGCCTTTCCGAGTTGCTGGAATGTTATAAACTGCATTATTATCTATGTTTTCATTTTTCTGTTTGTGTAAAGCACTTTGAATTGGCGTTGTGTATGACAGATGCTATATAGATAAACTCACCTTGCCTTACAGAAGGGCTGTCAAACTCAACGAGTAAAAGGGCCATATTAGAAAATCTCAGCAAACCTGTGGGCTTGAGAAAAAAATGTTCTTATTTCATTTTTAATTAATGTTGAACTGCTCACTGTTTATTCAAAATACGCAAAGACTTCAACAGTAAAATATAGGCACTTCTTGTAGACCTTGAAATATTACATGAACACTTGAAATATTCAAAATTTAAACGTCTATTAAACCGACCTATTTGCTTGAACTCGACACCTGCCATCCTTTCTTTGATGCACGTTCATTAAGACTTGGGCTCAATTTCTCAGCTGCTTAGGTGTTTATATTGACTGAACTGCAGTTGAAATGTAGCTAGTGTTTGGTGATATGACTGTGTAACTGTGTAAAATTGTGTAGAATTGAGGTGTAACCGCTGTCCCATAGATTGTTGTTGGGGTAGGAGAGTCAGAGTGTACATAACGTTGCTGGGGTACTGTAGGGCAGAGCGCATTGCGAAACAGGCTAATATTAATAGAAAATTAAAATACTTTTGAGGATTGTGTGTGTTTGACATATGGGACTTACAGCAGTTTAGGCCCACGCATTCACAGTGAAGTTTTTTCAATGTGGACTGCTTTTCGAATGAAACACAACACAGGTCCAATTACATGTTTTTTTTTGTTAACATCTGTATGGAACAAACTTAAAAATGACTACAAATTCTACAATTATCATTTATTTGCTGAATTTAATGTATTGGGAAAAAAGCTGAAACAAAATATGGCATGTGCAAAAGTTTAGGCACCCTTTCAGTCTATCCACTAGTGGATCACTGCAGCAGTTTTGGAAAGTGGTGGTGAAGATAAAGAAGCATTTTTAATATGAAACATATGACTGTCATGTTATATGAAGAGCTTTTAAAGGAGAATTTAAGAAGATATGAACAAATCGAGAAAATGCCCTCAGACCACAGAGGAATGTGAGTGACTGTGTTTCCTATCACTGCGTAAAAGATGCACAAGGCTTCTTTTATTATTGGACTGCTCAGAGCAATTTGGATCAGAAAGTGTTAACAATAATTATGATAGTAATAATAAAACATCCCTAATGTACTAATTATATTCATATTTAAGCATTTAGTTATGAAAATATATACTTAAAATAAATAGAACATCTACACATTTTCAGTTGGTAAGTTCTTAAATACAGCGACAGCATTCAGAAATCACTTTACTAAACAAAGAGCAGATTAAACAGCATAATCAGCCGTTATTGTTCCACCTCAAATAGTTAATATTTACTGAACCACTGTATTAGCTCTGGGTACATTTAATTAACAATTAAAATGTTTGTTTTTTTTGGAAATAAATCCATACACACGCATCAGCGTCACTCTTTACATTTGTCTTAGGAACTAAAAATAAGAATTTTAAGCATTCAAGCAATGAACACTTAGAATGGTTAAGATTATGAAGAACATGCATTCATTTGCAGGTGTGAAGGGTGGAGAGAAACTAGATTTGTTAAATTAGGTGTGAAGCCTTGTTCCTAATGACCCAGACAAAGAAGGAAGAGATGCTTCAACCAACTACAGCTGAGGCACAAGCAAAAAAACAGCAAGAGAAAGAAGGTTTGTTAGGAAAAGGCTGCAACACTTGCTTCATCACTGTAAAGAAGTATGTTATAGAGTTGAAACATGACATTCCAGCCTAACAAAACAAGCGCAACACAATTTAAACACTTACACAGATGAACAGGTGTGGCCTTTTAATTACTGGAGCAGTTAATCTGTTACATAAAGCTCACAAGAACTACATTCCATCAGTAGCTATGGTTCCATCCACTTTCTGTGCAAAATGCAAAAAAAGTAAAGTAAATTTTAGTGACAAAAATGCTTTACACAATGACATAACATCCTGAAAAATCACATTTAGTTTAGGTTTATTGATTAACTCATGGAATATGTGTTGACATGTATTTTTATGTATTTGAAATACATTTCAAATACATTGCAGTCTCTACTGAAAAGCACTCCAAACAATATTTCAGAATATATTGCCATATTAACCAAATTTAATTTAAAATGCATTTATTTTAAAATGTATGGGGAAATATTGCACATAGAAATGTACCATACAAAAATAAATGTATGTAAATGTGTTTATCAAATCCATTTGAAAATGTATGAAAATAGCCAGAATACTTTGAAATGAATTTGTATTCCAGCATCTTCATTTTAAACATTAGCATAATAACCTTTAACATGACAAAACCGAGTGTTGTAGGTATTGATACTCTGTGAAAATGTAGTTATGATTTGATATCTTGTTTATGTGAAATACATTGCATGTGAGTGTCTTACTGCATATGTACATGGTTAATGTAAAGTACAATGCAGATCATAGAAGTCAGTGCCATTTAGTTACATCTATAACCTTTATTACAACTACACACAACTGAACACATATAATAACAAACACAAATAAATGCATTTTAAAATATATTTAACAAAAACATTGTTGGCCATTTTATACATTGCAGAAATATATTTGATAAACACACTTGAAATATATTTTTTCCATATGAGAAAGAAATTTGTATTTGACATGTTTCCATCTTTAATTTCATGTTTGTCACAATTCGGCTTCCTCTTAACAAAAATCCTTGTTCATCAAAGTTGTATATGTTCAAATCTGATAGCTAATTTCTCCCACAATTATGTCATTCGTCAGTTTGATCTGTAGGATAAAAAAGCTTGATTTGCGATTAACTAAACAAAACTATCATTAATATAACGTATAATACAACTAATAAGTATACAAATACGTAATACCTATAATATTAACAATCTGTGCAGTAAAAAAGTGGCCATGGTAATTTTACATGCACATTGATATAAACAAACACTGCAACTATTACACGTTCCATTTAAAGACATTTTACAGTGCAGTTCTGTTTTATATTACTGACTCCGCCCACCAAATATACATCAAAAACACAGCAAGTGCAATAATACAGCATTTAAACTATGATATTTTACACTAAATCACATTATTCTACCATCACACTAAAAACACTAAGACATTTTGTTTATTTCACATTTTATTCTTTCCAGTGGTCATAATTTTAAGACTAGAAATTTTGCTCAGTAGGAGGAGCAGTGCACTCACAACTAAGTGCACTTAACCTCAAACTCCACCTACCAGCACAGCCATTGGCTCATGAGGCACTGAGTGCTGTTGTTTTATTGGAAACGTCTATGTAAATTAGAGCGTGCTTCATGTAAATGATATGTAAATGAGGTGCTGGTGGGCTGGTGCTTGTTTTCACGCACTGAAGCTGCTCTGCTCATTTCCACATCATACAAAAGTTTCATAAATCAGATGCAGAGCAGTTCATACATCATTAAAAGAGGTCAAATCTGCACTCTTTACTGAATAAGGGCAATTCTGATTATTTTATTCAGTGGAACTCTTTCTACTTAGAAAGCTGTAGTCTTTTTTGCTGGTATCTCTCTGTAAGAGCCGAAAAAGTGACAACATTCCTTTTAAAAATGGTCTCCCCTCCTCCTCAAAGCAGGTCCATCCCTCAAAAATGTCGGGTTTGTCAGGTTTTGGGTTTTTTTGCACAAATGCAGTATTTTTCTCAAAAAAGGTTTCCAGTGTATTTTTTGGTTTTTGTGACGTTTAAGGTTTCAGTAAGCTTTTTTTTCTGCTAAAGGTAAAGGCCATTATCCCATATCCCATAAAGACCATATCTGTTTCCGAAGCCTGCAGCAGCAGCAAACCTTCTGATGTGTTACATTTTTTGCAAAGAATCCTTTGGACGGAAACATAGGTTGAGATAGTCACAGCCTTAAATTGCATCTTCTAAAAACACAAATTATTTTAAGCTCTTAGTAAACAGTCTTTATGATGCATCTATAAGCTATCTGTACATTTGCAAATTGTCCCTTGTAGCCCATTACAACTTGTTTAATGACAAAATGTACAAATTCCCAGATAGAGACATCACATAAGCCAGATTTGTTGGAGAACCTGGTGCATTTCAGCATTTAATGTTGCCAAGAACTGCCTACATTGACAGGAATGGGCCATTTGACTGACATGCAGAATAACCAACCACAGACTGATGTTTTTTTTATTGATTGGTCAAATGCTTGAGTCAGACAAGTAAAACCAAAATATAATGTAACCAAGGGAATAAAAGTACAACCAAACATATAAAACCAAACACAGTAAAAGGTAAATCAGAATGCAAAACTCTTCTGTTGCTGTTGTTTATGTTTAGTGTTTACACTAGCATTAGCTATGTTTACACGCAAAGATTTCGCTTAGAATATCAACACAAACATGAAATTATTCAGTTAATACCTCATCCAAGCAGGATAATATGTCTAACAATGAATGGAAGCTTGGAGCTACAAATTAGCATGAGGTTATTTGCATAATACCATCTTCACAACACGAGTCGACCTATTTGTTTGGTATCATGATGAAAATAAAAGGGTGGGAGTACACAGACAGGTGGATGACTTGCAGAACATTATTTGTATATATCTCTACATGTGCAGATTTCTTAAGATATTAATTTTCATTGATTATTAGTGATTAAGAAACATTAGCATTTTTAATCAAACTCTCCCATTTAAACTTCTTTCCTATGTACAGGTTATATGGCCGCATTCACCAGCGTGATCCAAGACTCGCCGGTGGTCGAGTGCAGCCCGAATGCGGGATACACCGTCTCCTTGAACGCAGCTCTAAACGTGTGTAGATGAAGCTTCCTCCCTTTAGCTGTAACGCTATAGAAAGCTAGTGAGCCTCCGTCATAATCTAGCGCCACCTCCAGCCTTTTGGGTGGCACTGCAGACCCATCGCCCACGGTGGTGCTGATGGAATCATGGCATGCCGTCAACTTCTTGTTTTTCCACTGCAGCCTCCAGGAGAGGGTGTTGTGCCCAAGCTTGCTGTGGTCACCTTTGCGGGGGATGCTAGCATAACAAAGCCCAACTGACCACATGCAGTGTGGACCTAGCTCCACTGTCCACACGTGGACGCCTTGCGCAAACCCCTGGGAACACATGACCTGCACTGCGGCGGTGAAGCGTTCGATCTGGTCTCCATTGCTAAGGTTGGGTTTTGCCCCACTCCAGTACTTCACAGTCAGTAAATCCATGGACAGAATAAGGCTGTTATGTAGCGTAGCAGGATTGAAGCTAAGGTCCAGCGGATTCATCAAGCTATGGAGGTTCTGGAGTTCTTGGGTCAGCTCTGATCTGAAGGTGTCTGTGCTAAGGCCGGCCCGAAGCCGCTTGGTGTCGGTAGGTTGAGGCGCTGGAAGGCTCGGGATGGTCACATTAGCTGCCTGACGTAGCCGCGACTCCAGGTTAATGTAGAGCTGCAGGAAGAGAAAGTCGGCAGGGGAGGAGGAGAGTAACTCGCTGGCGGAGCGCTGGGCATCGCTAAGCTGGTGCTGGTATTCCCTCAGGGCGGTCACACTCGCCTGCCAGGCTTTATTGCACTCACGTACTTCATCTTCTATAAGTATTCTCATACGCTCCTGTATGTTACAACACAGACTGTTAGCAAAGTTAGCAAATGTGACAATATTAAAATTATTTGATTCATATTTAGATTTAGTGCAATGCAGTATTTGAAACATCCAACAAAAATTATTCATGTATTTTTTAAACGTGGCACTACATTTTTGGTCTGTTCTAGCATATCAACACTGAAAAATTAAATATTGTTTATTATCCCATATAGCAAAAGGATAGCAGGTCACTGTTGGCCCAATGACGGTAAGCTGATGGCCCCCAGGGTGCCGACCTTATCGAGCTAGTGGACCGACATACGCTTGCTATCTTGGATCTTATATATTAAATATGCCTTCCAAAATTGTGATGTTATATTTTTGCCATATAACCTACCCTTATCAAAACACTCCATACTCACTTCACAAACCATAGCAAGTTTATTTTACCAAAATGTAGTAATGAACACATACTACTCAGTCGATCAGCCAGGGCATGTTTGCTATCTGAAGTTTGCCTTCTGTTTTAGCACCAGTCTACAGCCTTATTCCTGCTAGTTAGCATGGTGCTAAATGCAAAGCATGGCCTAAATAACCACTTGCCTCAAAGCATGTGGAGTTGTTCAGTATTGCTGATAGACTTGATTATGTGGTTTCTGACACTGTATAACTCACTTATCTATAAACATGGACTAAGATATGGTAGCAAAGCTAAAACACTAGCAGGCACCTTTAAACCTAATTTTTTCATAGTTTTGTAATTTGTTGCCCACTTTAACAATTTTAGCTTAGCTTCTACATGCACATTTCACTTTGCTGAGTAAACCTCACCTCTATCTGTGTTCTTCACCAGAAAAGACTATCAAGCTGGGTTTAGCTGTGCATCATATGAGGCATGCAAAATGCTAATCACTGATGTATTTGTTAGCTACATTAGCCTCCCTGCTGAAAAAAAACAGCACAGACCAGTATGCATTTCATGCTGGTCTAAGCTGGTCTAGTGCTAATTTAGATGGTCATCCTAGCATAGTTATGCTAGTTGACCAAAATACCAGCTTCCAAAACACAACATATGCTGGTTTTGGTGGTGACAAGCCAAGCTGGTTTCCCATATGGAAATGTAATTTTCAAATCTTTTTGCATTGTATGAAAATGGCCAAAAAATGATAGAATTCAATTGTTTGTTACTATTTTTTTCCAATTGTATGTAGTTTTAATAAAGGTTACAGATGTAACTAAACAGTACTGACTTCTGTATCTGCATTGTACTTTACATTAACCATGTACATATGCAGTATGACACTCACACACAGTGTATTTAAATAAACAAGATATCAAATCATAACTGCATTTTCACAGAGTATCAATACCTACAACACTCATTTTTGTCATGTTACATGTTCATTTGCTAACATTTAAAATGAAAATACTGGAATACAAATTCATTTCAAAAGGTATCAAACAGTAAAATGCATTTGACAGGATTTTGGCTATTTTCATACATTTTCAAATAGATTTGATAAACACATTTATATACATTTATTTGTATGGTACATTTGTATGTGTAATGTCTACCCACACATTTTAAAATAAATGCATTTTGAAATATATTTAGTTCATATGGCAATCATTTTAAATACATAAAAATACATGTCTATATATAATTTTTTCCATATGTTTTTTCTAGCAGGGCTCACAGCTCCAAAGCTAAAACTAAAGAAGCAAACTTTGCAGACCAGGCATGTTTTGTCTGATCAGTCATGTGTGGTGTGGAATGAAAGTTTTGAATGTTTTCAGTTTGTTTCAGTGAGCTATGAATGGGAAATAATTAATATTAAATGACACAAAGCTTTTGTTATTGCTTGTGATAACCCAGCTTCCACTCACCTTGTAAGCAGTGATTTGTGCTGCCATGCTGTCCAGCAGTGCTGTAGCCTTGGCTGCTAGCATATCTACACTCGTCTCTGGGTTTCTCACGCTGTCCTGAGACCTCCTGAGCAGAGCTTCGGTCATCTGGAGCCGGTCATACGTGGCCTTCTCTAGCCCTTCCAACACTCGCTTCAGGTCACTCTTAGCAGCTTCAAACATCTGGACCTCATGGTCTCGGTGCTTTCCTTCAATTACACACTCGTTGCAGAGAAAACTGCGGTCCTCCAAGCACAGAAACTCGAGCTCTCGTCTGTGTTCGGGACATTTCCTCTGGTCCTGGTCAGGCAGTGGCTCTACAAGTGCGTGACTTTTGGACCTGTGGCGTTCTTGGTGCTTTTTTAAATGACCTTGACACAGAGAGGTCTCACAGTGAAGGCAGGTCTTCACAGCAGGTTCTGTTCCGTCCAAGCACTGGTCACATGGCACCACTGATTTGCCCATTTTAAAGCCACCGGCAGACATGGCCATGCGGTAACCCTCCACTATTCCACATAGTTTGAAGTTTCTGAGCAAACTCTCCAAGCCATTGTACTCCTGTCTGCACTCTGGGCAGCGCGGTTGATCCCCGGGTAGGTCTGATTTCTGGCTGGTCTGAACACAGGCCAAGCAGTAGCTGTGTCCACAAGGCAAGGACACCGGATCATTGTAAAGCTGAAGACATATAGCACAGCTCAGCTCCTGCTCCAGAATTCCGCTCGGCTGGCTCATGTTTTGTCTCTCTCTTTCTGCAAACACACGCTCGCACAAAAAGGAGCACAGAAAGAAAGACGAGAAAACAAGACACAGGCTGGCACTGGAACTGGCTCGGCCTGTTTAAGGAGTCTGAAACTCAGCATTCCAGGGAGACAGCAGGTCACACAGGAATTCTGAGAAAGAGGAAACCAATTGCTGCTGGTTGCAGGCCTCAAACAATTCCAGTCAAATGTACTCAAGCATTTGTCTCTATTTTGACTGTTTTTCATATTTTTAATATAATACTGAATGATTTTTTCCAGGGCAGAGTTACTTATTTGTAATGTAATAAAGCATGTTTTGAACAATAAAATAAAAAGCCTGGAGACGAGACGGGATGAGTGGAATCAGTACAACTCAAAAAATGATCATTTCAGTGGATTATGGTACAATCCTTTTATTTCTGAGATCGTATGGGGTTTATGAATGGTACTTTGTAAAGCTCTTCACTGGTACTATGTGAGACATTCGATTGATTCTATGTGAGATCTTTACCTGTTACCATGTGAGACTTTGGTTCTAACTGGTACTATGTGGGACTTTTGACTGGTTCTATGTGAGGCTCTTAACTGGTATTGTGTGATACTTTTGACAGGTTCTATGTGAGGCTCTTAACTGGTATTGTGTGATACTTCTGACAGGTTCTATGCGAGGCTCTTAACTGGTATTGTGTGAGACTTTTGACAGGTTCTATGTGAGGCTCTTAACTGGTACCATGTGAGACTTTTGACTGGTTCAATGTGAGGCTCTTAACTTGTACTATGTGATACTTTTGACTGGTTCTACATGAAGCTCTTAAGTGGTACTATGTGGGACTTTGGTTCTACTTGAGCCTCTTAACTGGCTCTATTAGAGACTTTTGACTATGTGAAGCTTGTAGCTGGTTCTATATGAGGCTCTTAACTGGTAGTGTGTTAGACTTTTGACTGGTTCTCTGTGTGGACTTTTGACTGGTTCTATGCTAGGCTCTTTACTGGTGCTATGTGGGACTTTTGACTGGTTCTAGGCAAGGCTCTTAGATGGTACTATGTGAGATTTTTGACTGGTTCTGTGCGAGGCTCTAAACTGGTACTATGTGAGATCTTAAACTGGTTCTATGTAAAACTATTAACTGGTACTATGTGGGACTTTTGACAGGTTCTATGTGAGATATTTGACTGGTTCTATGTGAGGCTCTTAACTGGTACTCTGTGGAACTTTTGACTGGTTCTATGCGAGGCTCTTAACTGGTACTATGTGAGACTTTTCACTGGTTCTATGTGAGGCTCTTAACTGGTATTGTGTGAGACTTTTGACTGGTTCTATGCAAGGCTCTTAACTGGTACTATGTGAGACTTTAGACTGGTTCTATGCGAGGCTCTTATGATGTTTGTGACTATAGGTACTATGTGAGATCATATGAGGTCATATGTGAGCCTCTCAGCTGGTTCTATGAGAGACTCCTGATTGGTACTATGTGAAAAATTTGACTGGTGCTATATGAAGTTCCTGACTGGTGCTATACACTCTCAGAAGTAAAGGTAGTAAACTGGCACTGGGGCAGTGCCCCTCCTGTCACTGGGGTTGTACTGTGTGTATTTATAAAAATAATGTCAAAGGAATCAGGTTTCCCCCACCTTTTACTTGTATAGTAAACCATATTTGCAGTTGTAAATTTCAGGTTTAAAGATACTTGAAGTTGTAAGATTGCAGGTAAGAATGAGGATGATGGTGTGCTTTCTGGGAAGTTCAGTCAGAATAAGCACATTAGCACGTCTATCAGAAATTACTTAATAACTTCACATGGTTTAAGGCAAGGGTGGGGTTTGATGATTCAGGCACAAAGTTATCAGCACGCTAATTGGTGGGGTTTAAGCTTCCATTACTTGTTAGCTATATTAGCCTCGTAGCTCCAGTGCAAAAGAGGAAAATATCAGAAATGTCTTGGCTGACTGGCTGTATTTGGGATAAGGGGACTAACTGTGTTAATTTGATTTTTGGCCAAACTATCACTTTAGGCATGCACACAACTTACAAATCGAAATCAGAGCTCCTAGAAGGCCGGCCTTCATTCAGCATTACTGCGCATGCCAGGAAATCTCAAGAATAACAGGTTTGATGGGACATGAACATAATCCTCAGTAGAAATCTGCAGATGCCTTTGCAGTAGGTCACAGTTCAGCTGGGTTATCTTATGGGGAAACTGTTTGCTAAAAAACATCTCAAGCTAAAGAAATGATAATGTAAAAGTCATTGCATGTAATTTGGACACTGTAGTTAAAAATCTTGGTGTGGTTTTGGACCTGTCTTTGAATTTTACCAAACAAGTCAGTAGTGTTGTGCAGGGCACTATTTATCAGCTTAGATCTAAGATCTTCGATCTTTTATCTCAGAAGGATCTGGAAACAGTTATCTATGCGTTTATCTCTTCTTGGCCGGACTACTGTAATTCTCTTTATTTAGGTCATTGACATGGCATGCATTTTATTGTGTGCAAGTCTTTTATTTTCCTAAATAAGTTATACAAATTTCTAAATAAAATACTTTGGTGTGATTTTATGTTTGAAAACTTGTCACAATGTCACAAAATAAGGCAACTTTAAAAGTGCTGAACTCACTGCAAAAGTTTTTTTCTACAAGTTCTTACTTCCTCAAATGTTAGGCAGCACAAAAACGAAGGACTTCTATTTTGACATGCCTTTACGAAAGAGGGGGAGGGTATTACATCATAAAGACGACCCCGAATGACCTTCATAGTGCAATGCCAAAGTCACAAATTTTATTAAAAATTTTATTTTTGTGCCGTGGTCAGAATGGTCCAGTTGTCAGGTATCTGATTAGATAGAGTTATCTCTTAACCACTATGTGATTACCCAAGAGCATGAAAACACACTGAGCCAGTTACTGACACAATCTGATTTACTGCAGTTATCAGGTTTGTAAGTGTAAACACACTGAACCTGTCACTGACACAATCATCAGGTTATTTACAAGTTTTTACTGAGGGTTGGTTTAGATCCAGTGAGGGTAACTTCAGTCACTATCACTATCATGAGGAAGTTGTGTTTCATCCAGGAACTAAAAAGTTCCACTGCAGTTCTGTAAGTTGCTCAGTTCTTCACTAGTTTTTTGACCTTTTCGTACTTTTACTTGTGTCATTATTTTACCTAAGTTTCAGTACTCTTACCTGAGTATTGATTTAGACTACGCTACCCACCTCTGGTCATACCCCACCACTGATATGTTTAAATCAACCTTTTTAATCCTGCTTTTAATTCAGTTTGAGGCTGCCGTGGCTTTTGTCAAGTCCACTCTTAATGTATTTTTTAATCTGCTGGTTTTAGTTTTGCCTTTTATAAATTATTCCTCCTAATAATCTATTTTACCTAGATTTCACTTTGGTTTTTTTATGCTTTTGTTTCTGTTTGGTATTTCTCCTTTTTTATTGCCAAAACAAGTCACACCACTAGCCAATCAGTTTATAAGGCCTATTTCAGGGGTTGGCAACATGTTGCTCTTCTACTGCCCTGTTGCGGCTCTGCAGCAGAATTTTTAGGTAAAAATAAAATAATCCTCTGCTAATCATTCTAACAGTTTTAACAATAAACTGTCTTAAAGGCTGGAGTTCATTTAGAACTGCTAATTCACCCTTTAACCCTGAAGATCAGAGTGCAGACTGCTGGTCACCATAGCAACATAGACAATCTTGCCTAGCTAATAGCTAACGAAAAGAGAAAGGAGGAATGGACTTATTTGCCTTTATAAGCACTCCAGCTGGTTTCCTGATATGTTTACTCTACAATGAAAAACTGTCAAACACTAAAAAGTTGTGAAACTGAAGTCAGCTTCTCATTCACCAGCTTCTTCCTGTTCTACCTTAAATGGTGCAGAAGTTACATTCTGGTGCCTCAGGCACAATAAGCTGGTCAATGAGAAGCTGACTTCAGCCTTGCAAAAAAGTAAAAAATTAAGAGACATTTTACAAGAAACTGTTCTACTTTTGAGGAAAAGTTTCCTGTCAGAGATGCAAGAAAAGCAGCTATAATTGAGCTAAAGCTTAATGCAGAGCAAAGTAAGTCTGCATTTTCATTTATATTTTATTTTTTAGTCTATATGAGTACGTTAACACATACTAAGATATATTTGCAGCCAAGATGGTAATATGGACATAAAATGGCTCCCAACTGGTTTAATTTTTGCTGAAAGGACAAAATGGCTATTCTTAACATTTGGGTTGCTGACCTCTGGCAAAGAAGGAAGTGCTATGAAGAAAGCTAAAGAACTTGACATCCCCCTGAGCTCAAGCAAAGGTTGGACTTCTTAACTGAGTCTATAATAAATGCAAAAAAATCTTTCCACTACAAGCTTTTTACAGTGAAGAGTTTAATACAGAATGTTCTGAGCTTACTCATGACAAATGTCTGATCTGAGGAGTGATGAGAGATTGCATGGTTAATATGGTTAATATGATTAATAAGTTAATATGGTTCAGATTTGAATGTCTAACTTATGTAACATCAACATAGTATGATGACATAACAGACCATGTTCCTGTTAAATCATGTGTAACATTCCTAACAGATTTCTAGTGCGGGAATCTGAGCGGGTAGAGCAGGTATACGGTCTTAAAGATGGTTGAGATTCTTCTATTTAATTAGCAAAGAAATATTTTTTAATTATCAGCACTAAACTGGTCCCATTACGTGGCCAGCAGAATCTAATGTCCTGCACAAGTTTTTTGTGGGTGAAGTCGTTGTTGTGTTTCCAGGACCCTGTGTTCCCTCTTTGTGATTTTGGAAAATGTTTCAAAGGTCTTATATTACAAGGGTCCTATATTCCTTGTGCCTTATATTCCCAAGTTCCTAATTTCCAAGGTCCTATATTTAAAGGGGCATATATTCTAAGGGTCCTATATTACTAGGGTCTTCTGTTCCCAGGATCTTATATTCCCAGGGTCCTATGTTTCCAGTGTCCTATGTTGCCAAGGTCCTGTATTCAAAGGGTCCTATATTCCTAGGATCCTGTATTTCCAGAGTTCTATATTCCTAGG